GCAGCTCAGCCTGGCCACAAAGGGCTCCCAACTCAAGAAAAGGAAACGAAAACAAACAAACAATTCAAAACAAACAAACGAACAAAAGCCCCAGGATCCCACCAGCACAGCTGCTCAAACCAGGAAGCAGTTCCACACTTGAACGGAGCTCCGCAGCTCCTCAGGAAGAAGCAAAGAGGGCACATGGAGCCAGGTACTTGAGCGAAGGGAGGGGGAGGTGGTGAGAGGCAAGTAAGAAATCGAAAGAAGCAGAAAAGAAAGAAAGAAAAAAAAAGCAACACTAGCAGCCAACAAATGGCACTCAGAGAGCCAGCTAGTGCGGGCTGGTGTTTCTGGACAAGGGACTGTGTCCGTGGGAAGCAGAGGGGGCCAAGTGTGGGTGAAGAAGGGTAGAGAGTGGGAAAGCGTGTATCGCAAATTACCAGAGCTCTGCAGCCCCTCAGGAAGAAGCAAAGATGGCGCACGGAGCTAGGCACTCGAGCAAAAGGAGGGGGAGGTGGGGAGAGGCAAGAAAGAAATAAAAAGAAGTGGGAAAAAAAAGCAACACCAGCAGCCAACAAATGGCACTCAGAGAGCCACCCATTTGGGTGTGTGGAATCCAAGCAGCGGCTGTTTCCCGGTCAAGAGACTGTGGCCGCGGGAAGCAAAAAAGGCCGAGTCGGGGTAAAGAAGGGTGGGTGGTGGGAAAGCGTATATCGCCAATTACCAGTTGTTTTGTCTCCCGCTGGAAGCTCCGTGAGGCTGCTTTCTGGTACCCCGTTTGCTGGTCTCCGATAGGAGTCCAAAATGGCGGATCCGCGCTGCGTTAGCTGGTAGGGGACCTCTGCATGAATCTCTCCTTGCTCTCCATTCTCTGTCAGTTTTCTCACTCCATTTGGTGCTTTGCTGAGTTCTTTATCTCTTCATTTGATGTTTCAGGGTTTCAGAATTGTTGTATTCTCTGTTCGGCTTAGTTTTTCGGATCTTTGCTGTGGAGGGACGGCGTGGTGCTTCTGCCTAGAGCGCCATTTTGCCGGAACTCCGCAGAACATTTTCTTAATAAACTTTGTTATGCTGATTGACCTAGATGTCCCCTGAAAGCATGTTCCCCAAACCCCCGCCCCTACTACTCTGTGGACTTGTTTTAATTTTCTTCAGCTTTAACTTGAACTTTCATATGACCAATTGAAGGTCTGTTTTGTAGTAGGCCCCCGGCCTTGTTCTGATGGATGATATTAGCTTTTCCATCGTTTCTTTCCACTGATGTAGTCAAACTGATTCCTGTGTTTTCCACACGGTGAGGTCTACCTGTATAGTTGCTGTTTATATTGTTGAAAAAAGGCATTTGCAATGAATAAGTTGAACGAAAAAACGCATTTGCAATGAATTTCATAGCTGCGGCCAGTTATCAGGAGAGAATAATAATGGGAAGGGAGAAATTGGGAGAAAGGTTGAAGAAGGGCAAGAAGCTGGACAAAGAGGGAACATCAAGAAAGAAGCTTACAGGTAACTTCTCTCTCTGGTTTCCCACAGGCACTGTGGCCCTTTAAAACATTTTCCCCAGAAAAGGCAAGGGAGGCGGATGGTGTCTTGTTACAATACAAATCCTGTCTACACAGTTGCTTAAACTCCTTCAATAGCTCCCAGTCACTTGCAGAATAAAATTCCAAAGCCTTTGTCTGAGTTTGATATGTTTCCGTGCTTCTGTTACCCTGGCCGCCCCCTCCCAGGCTTAAAAGGCGAAGCTGAACTTTTTCTTTCTCAGGCTGGTTCCCAGGCCCAGGACAGATTAACTTCTCTCTCCCTCTCCCCAAGCTTTTCATCGACCTTTCTTCCAAGTCTAGTCTGACCCAATATAAACTTGGCCTCCGCCCCCATCTTCTCCTGTTCTGCTAGTGCCTTTGGAGCGCTTATTTCTGTGATTAGACATCTTTTCGGGTGCATTCACATCAATCATCTGAAAGACGAGCCCCCACCCTTCTAGGCAGTCAGACTCCAGAAAGGAAGGGCCTGGTAGGTTTGGCTTCCCCCAAAGTCCCCAACTTCTAGCACGGTGCCCAGCACACAGTAGGCGCCTGTTTGGTGACTTTAAGTCAATAAGTCAGTCAATACAGGCAACAGCCGAGTGGGGACAGTCCCAACGCAGGAAAAGGTGCTCCTGAGGGTCTTCTGGGGCGCCGAGGCCCGAGTCCCGCCCTCAGGAATGCCGCTGGCCGGTGCCCGCGCGGGATTGAGGTACCGCCCCTGACTGGCAGCGCTGGATCGCCCGAGTCTTAGTCGGCGGCAACTCGACCTCTCCATTAGGCGGCGCTCAGGCCGCGGCCGCCGAGCTCAGTGCGAAGCATCACGGGACTTGTAGTTTCCATGAGCAGATGCCTACGGCGCTTGCGCATTGATGTGGCGGCCTCAAATCAGGATTCTGGGTCTTTGTGAGGGGCAGTCCAGGCAACAGTGTTCCAACGGAATACACCTCTCTCGTTGGCCAGGGACGAGCCGAGTGAGGGGAAAAATCTGCTCTGCGGGGGCCGTCACGATGACTCGAAAAGCAGCCAGAATAAGCGCGCCCCCGCTCCGGAAGTGAGCAGCTTCTGGCGCGGTGCATTGTGGGGGGCGTAGTCCTCCTTCCCAGGCGGTGCTTTGCGGCGTCCCCGGGGCCGACTTCGGAGCGCAGGCAGGAGGTGCGGCCGGGTGGGTGGCCCGGCGCGGCGCGGTGCGGCGCGGGACGGCGGGAATCGTACTCTGAGCGCGGGGCGCCG